CCGGCCGCCCCCGGCTCCCCGGCCGCCCCCGGCCGGCAGGGAATGCCGTTCCCCTGCACTGTGAAGCCGGCGAGTGTGTGTTGGGGGTGGGGGGTTGCAGAGGTGAGGCCTCTCCAGGTTTGAGCCGGGAAGTGTCCGCGGAGCCCGGGCCGAGTCGTAATCGCAGCGCCTGGGGGACCGTGGCCGGGACGGGGTGCGGCGCCCGCAGGAGCCCGTGGAGGTGCGCACGCTGCGGGATCCAAGGTCTGCTCGCAGCGTCCGGGGAGCTGAGTGTGTTTGGGAGCGTGACCCGCCCACCCCACATCCCCCACCCCGGGGGGCCCGGGCAGATTGTTTTTAAACCATGCGTTTGTAGTTTATCTTTTAAATAGCCGTAGAAGGTTCGCCGTTCACCCAGCAGTGGATGAATCCAGTGCATCTTTGATCAGTGTCACCCCTCTCCTCACTCTCCTCCTCCCCCCCCCCCCCACCCTTATCTCTTCCTGCAGTTTTCCTTGTTGAAGATTTTGAACGCTGAGGTGACAGGATCTGACTGACTTTGATCGTTTTGTTTAAAAATATGGTGCACAGGGCTGGGAAGGTGGCTCAGTGGTAGAGCGCTTGTATTGCATGCCTGAGGCCCTGGGTTCGATTCCTCAGCACCACATAATCAAAAAGAAAAAAGCCGGAAGTGGCACTGTGACTCAAGTGGTAGAGTCCTAACCTTGAGCTGAAGAGCTGAAGGGACAGCGCCCAGGCCCAGAGTTCAGGCCCCATGACCGGAGCCCCCCCCCAAAAAAAAAAGAAATAAAATAAAATATGGTGCACAGAGGGGTTTCATTTCAACATGTGAAGCCCCTCTCTACACCCATTTAAAAAGACTGAAAAAAATAAAATAGCATGTTGTTGTCTTTGTGTGCAAGGAAGGGGTCGGATCATTTCTAATTTTCCAAGTGTATGGTTGTACTGGGATTGTCTTGAATTTGGTTCCTCAAAGAAGATTTTCTTTTCTTTTTTTTTTTTTACTTTCATGCTGCTTGCCTGTTTTTATGTTGTAGTTGATAAAAGTGCCTCGTGGCAATGAAATTACTTATTGATGCTTATGGAAATAATTTTGCTTAGCACTCTTCATTTCCAGATGCCAATTTGAAAATAGTAAATATTACCTAATTGTTTAATACTTTTTAAGATCCAAAGTGATTTAAAAGAAAAAGGGCCATTTATATATACAAGTCTTTAGGAAACTCAATATTTGGAAGTGGAAGGGATTTGGGGGGGTGTCATTCTTTCTGTTTGTACTAAGAAAAGATGTATTACACTAAGAATAGATGTATTACAGCAATATATTTAATGTGTTTTACATTTTCTTTTTTTTTGCCTAGTACATTTCTACCAGCAACTTTGACTTTAAATGTCCTAGCTGTAAATACATTTGATTTCACTTCCCATGTCTACTTTTCATTGTACAGAATTTGGAGCATATGTTATATAATTTACATTTTTGCTATTGTATCTACAACTTAATAAAACTGTGTAACATTTAAGGTATATCTTTTTTTTTTTGTTAGACCAATTAGTATTTGTAGAGTACCTATTATATCCAAGTACTGTATTAGAAGAATACTTCCTTTTCTTTTAGATTTTACTTTTGCAGTGCCAGAGATGAGTTCATAATGTATTAAAGCTACTCTGTACATTATTTAATTCACTTTGTCTACAATGATAAAGTTTTACCTGAAGCTAAAGCCTCTGTCCCTGTCATCTTTATAGCTTTCATAACACTTGTTACCACATCTGACTAATCATCACAGTCACCTCAGAAGCTTAATTAAGGTAAACAGTACCATTGAAGTACTTCCCTAAATCTGTGGACACCTTTAGTACTCTGCCAATCTTCATGCTGTTAGTGCTTGTAGACTGACTTTCAACTTCCTACTTTTGTGTTGTGCCTGATAACTTTTCTCCTGTTGAAATCTCTAAGCAGCCTGGGAATTATGCTTGCTCTTTTTTCCTTCCCCTTTCTTCCTAAGCAGGCTTCAACCAAGGACTGATGAATATTTCATTTTCCATCTCATAGTTAACCCTGTGGCTAGTGTATGTATATACTGGCTTTGTTTCTCAACAGGTCAAACCCAATTATCTAGTATGGTATCTAATTTAAGAACATACTCTCATTATCTGTCTTTTTTTCCTTGTATTGCATTCCCACTTTCTTGTGAAGTTGTTCTTTACCTTCCAAGTAACCTAACAACTAAATCAAATGCACCCAGTTCTTACCACAGGGAATAGTTTTTAGGAACTCACATAAGATGAGCATCTGTCTGAAAATTACAGAATCCTGATACCTTGGATGATAGAGTTTAGCCCTGGGAGATTCTCTAGGAGATTCTGATTGTCAGCTTGTGTTGAGAGTTCCTGCTTTCTATTATTGACTATAGTATCTTGATATTCTGTGCTGTGTATGTAAGTTAGGTTAATGCCAGGGGAATAAAATCATTTTAGAGTTTATTAAACTATAAATTCATATACTTGCTTGTGGGAGTTTGGTAAGTATATATATTTGAGAAAAAAATATTTTGAGAGCAGTTTGATTAGATAAAGTGAAAATGCCTGTTCTTTTTTATTTTATTTCCGTCCCCCCCCCTTCCAGGTTCAGTGTGGTGACTTCCCTCATCTGTTAGTGTATGGACCATCAGGTGCTGGAAAAAAAACAAGAATTATGTGTATTCTACGTGAACTTTATGGTGTTGGAGTAGAAAAATTGAGGATTGAACATCAGACCATCACAGTAAGCTTTTTTCTTTGAAAATGTTCATGAAAATATTTCAGTTTCCAAATGTTTACAGCAGAGGCTTTCAGTTCTGGTCATGTATGCACCCTCCCATCAACGGCTACCTAAGGTACAATTTAGAAAGAATTTCAGGATTGGAGGTGTGGCTCAAATAAAAACACTGAGTTGAAACCCCAGTACACAGAACATACATACAAAAATAGAAACAAAGAATTTCAGATATACTGGATGAGGAGAGTTTCTGATACTGAGACTGAGACCAAAGTCATTTATGTTAGGCAATATGAGCAGTCTGAGAATGTTTTGGCTGGAATAGAAATAAAATTTCTGAGGTCTATTACTATTATTGTTATTGTTGTTCTTACTGTTATTATTAATATTTGTTTGTCTGGTGCCAGTTCTGAGGCTTCAACTCAGGGCCTGAGTGCTGTTCCTTGGTGTTTTTGCTAAAGGCTAGCACTCTACTACTTAAAACACAGTTTTACTTAATTAATTGGAGATAAAAATCTCATGGACTTTTGTGCTGGGGCTGTATCTTTATATCTCATCCTCCTGAGTATCTAGAATTGCAAGTGTGAGCCACCAGTACCCTGCTGAAACTTATTATTTTGAGAGCATTTTGAGAGAGATGGAAATGAAGGAAATGATTTTGAGAAAAATTTTAAGCATTGAATCAAACAACTGGTTAAAAAAAAGGGGTGAGGTAGGGACTAGGAAAGGAAACTTGAGGCCAGAGGCAGTTTAGAAGTGTCTTGTGATCTTGCCCTGTCTGGGCTGTGGTCAGTGTACCTTGTAGTAAGTTACATGTTTTGCTATGGATGGTGTTTTAGACTTCACTGAAATCTCCTGTCTCAAGTTTCTCTCTTACTTTATAAGATTAGTCTTCTATAACTTTTAGTTTATACTTTTGTTATTTTTTAGTTTCTTTTTTTTTTAATTGTCAAAGTGATGTACAGAGGGATTACGTTACAAAGTAAGGTAATAAGTACATTTCTTGTCAAACTTGTTACCCCTTCCCCCATTTTTCTCCCACTAGTTTATACTTTTATAGGACTCAATTTTAGTGTACTTCTTTATACATCTTGTACTTTACTTTGAAGTTATGTAAGTAACGTCATATTCTTCACAGTCCTTGACAATATTTTATATTTATCATGTATTCAGAATTAAAGCTGAATCTGAATCGTACTATTATTACTAGAATCAAAAGGATAAATGTATTTTAGTCTTGACATATTGAGTTTGTGGTAGTGGTATATCCTATTAGAAAGGCTTATAAAACAAATGTGGAAAAATTTAATAATAGTATGAGATCTGGAGAAAAAACCTGTAATAGTATACTGGAGGACAAAAAAACGGGAGCTGAATGGATAAAATGATGAAATATGTTATCAGTTTGGAAGCTTAATATTTATAAAGTGTTGATTTTTCTCAAGTTTCCATGTAAATTTCAATTACAATTCAAGTTTTTGAAAATTGTATACGTTCTACATATGTGAACTTAGTTCTAAAATTTGTATGATAAGCTCTACATGGAAGAAAATGTTTGTATGCCTAGCCAAAGCAATTGTGAAAAAGATTAGTGAACTGGGGCTTCTGTTGCAAGATAGTAATAATATTTTAATATTGTAACAGTAATATATTGGCAAAGAAATTAGTGAAACTGAACAGAGTCCAAAAGTATGATGGGAGATCTGCATCTCATTAGTGGAAAACAGATGAGCCAGAAAAATGTGTAGCATAGCTAGTTATCAGGAAAGCACATATTTTACAAAGATAAATTATAGGTAAATTAAAGTTTTAAATATTAAAAATGAATAGTGTCTTAGAATAAGATTTCTTAGATTAAGTTCTCTGTAGTTCAAGAAAATCTTTCTGATCTTTGTACAACTACTTAAAGATAATAAAATAAAGCAGGGTGCTGGTGGCTCACTCCTAAATTCCTAGCTACTCAGGTGGTTGAGATCTGAGGATTGTGATTCTAAGGCAGCTAGAGCAGGGAAATCTGTGAGACTCTTCTCTCCAATTAAGTACCAAAAAAAGCAAGTGGAGTAGTAGCTCAAATGATAGAGTACTAGTCTTGGGCACAAAATCTCAGGAACAATGCTCATGCCCTCAGTTCAAGGCACAGGGCTGACATAAAACACAAAAACAACAAACAAAATATACTAGATATTGTGAGTCAATTTGAGTTTTAAAAGTTTGTGTGGACTGGGAAGGTGGCTCAGTGGTAGAGTGCTTGCCTTGCAAGCATGAGGCCCTGGGTTTGATTCCTCAGCACCTCATAAAGCAGAAAAGCGGAAGTGGTGCTGTGGCTCTAAGGGTAGAGTGCTAGCCTTGAGCTGAAGAGCTGAGCCACAGCACCCAGGCCAGAGTTCAGGCTTCACAACCAGCAAAAAAAAAAAAAGATTGTGTGACAGGATGATAATTTATAGGAAAAGATTGTCATAAAATATTGGAATTGGACATGTTGGATAAAAAATTTTACAAGTTGATAACCAAAAGACAACTTGGTTAGTAAATGAAAGAACAAGTAGTCCTAAGAGAGAAATGTAAGTGGACAGTGAACATACATAGGTATTTGACCTTTAGGGTAGTCATGTGAGTCCCTTCTTACAGTCAAAACTGTCTAAAATTGAAAGGCACAATAAAGCATATTACAAGCATACTGTAGCACAGGCTAGCAAATTCAAGTCCCAGCCCTAACTCTCAGACTGTGTGTGTGTGTGTAAAATTTACAATAGGTGAAGAATATTGAGGAAGAATAATTGTTGCCACTGGAAAAGTGAATTGTTAAACTGTTTAATGTAAATAGATTGCTCTCTTGACAGACACAGGCAAAAAAAATGAAAAACAAAATGCTCATTAGTATGGTTAGCTTTGAAACATCCAAAATATAGGTCAGTATAGAGCTACAACGTATCAGTTGTCTGAGGATTGTCATGCTACATTAAGCCGAAAAAGCAAAGCACCAGACGAATGATTTCTAATTTACCTGTTTTTTTCTTTATTTTGGGTTTAATATGGGAAAGTCTGAAAGAATATATGTACATTGCTTACGAATGATGATTTGGTGATAACTGTGGATGATTTGGAGATTTCTGGAGGAAGTAAAAATCATAAAAACGTATGTGATAGCACCTATGTTATAAACATGCTTGTATATATAGTAAGGAAGAAGTAAAAGACTCTAAACTACATTAAGCTTTATTTTCAAGGTTCAGTTGCTTATATGATAAAATAAATCCACACGAAAAATACAGAAGTGAGGGGACATAGCCAATACATGATGAATTTTTTTTTTTGTTTATAGACACCATCTAAAAAGAAAATTGAAATCAGCACTATTGCAAGTAATTACCACCTTGAAGTTAATCCCAGGTAAATTTGCTACTAAACAGTTTTTTAAAAATGGTTGGAAATGAGCATCTTTAACACAAAATTTTAAGACATTTTAAAACACTATCTCTTTAAAGTTTTATGTGTGTGAGACAACAGTATATTAAACGAAGGAAAGCTGCCTTCCTCAAAATATGGAGCCTAATTCACACTTCACCTTCTCTGCCAAGTAATTGCAGTTTCAATTTCTGTGTCTTACAGAGCTCCATATTGTACACAAAGTACGTGGTATCATCATAGTTTTTTTTCCCTTAAATTCTTCTGTTTCATTTGGTGCTGATGAGCAAAGTGTGGAGTGAATATTTCAGAAACTGAATTTTAGTTGCGGTCTCTTTTCCTTGTCTAATGTTTCAGGGTCTGTTATGATATAATAACATTATAGTCTTGAGAAGATATTAAAGACTCCTGTAGTAGCAGTGAAGTTGGATTCTTGAAGGAGAACATAGTAGAGGACCTTTTCAGATCCATTAGAAGGAAAGGAAGGAGATGAACAGGGAATGAGGAATAGAGCTTTAAGCTAATGTGGATGTGTATGCAGTAGCAACCACTGTGAAAAGCTTTCCAAGGACTATGATATTTAGTCCTTAAAACATGCTTAGCAAATAGGTATTAATTTCAAAGGAAATAAAGAGAAATAAAATGAGAGGAAATGCGGTTAATTATAAAAGTAGGAGTGTTAATTCTATGGGAAATTTTTCAATTCTTGGCTCAGAATATCATCACAAATGAGGCCCTGTAGATATATTGCTCTAATTATAGCAGTTGGGTAAAGCTTAATGGCTATTTGGGAAAGTAAAGCTTTTTACTTCCCTCACTATTCTCTGTCCTCATGAGATCTTCTGAGGCAAGGATAGCCAGTTAGAGATTAAGCCAATTGCTTCTCAGGTATTTAAAGTTAGCATTCATTTACCCTAAATTGGACTGGGAAGGTGGCTCAGTGGTAGAGTGCTTGCCTCACATGCATGAGGCCCTGGGTTCAATTCCTCAGTTCCATATAAACAGAAAAAGCTGGAAGTGGTGCTGTGGCTCAAGTGGTAGAGCATTAGCCTTGAGCTGAAGAGCTGAGGTACAGTGCCCAGGCCCAGAGTTCAAGCCCCACGACTGACCAAAAAAAAAAAAAATGTATTGCCATTTAGCCTAAATTAACCAGATGACTTGACTCCTTTTGGTTTAAGAAGTACTTTACTCAAGTGCTAAAGCAGTATGTTGGTATAAGTCTAGATTTGTGTCTGTAATCACTCAATAGTTCGTATCTTAAACTCTATTACCCAATTATTAGAACTTAATGTTATTGTAATATAGTAATATGTTCAGTGTTTTTGGTGATAATCCAACTGGAATTTATTCTTATTGGGTAGTACTGGGATTGAAACTCAAAACCTCATACTTCCCAGGCAGACAGACACTTGAAGTAGGCACTCAGCCTTTTTTGCCTTGGTTGCTTTTGGAATTGATTCTCATGTTTATTTGCACTTGTGAGTATCTAGGTATATGCTGGCCTTGAATTGTGATCCTCCTCATCTCTTTCTAGTTGAGACCCACTGTACCTGGCTGTTAATATTTTTAATGACCCTAAATCATTTTAGAGGTTTATAATTGTAACTACGTATTAACTAGTTTTTGTTTTGTCAGTCATGGGGCTTGTATTCTGGGCCTGGGCACTGTCCCTAAGCTCTTCAGCTCAAGGCAAGTGCTCTATCACTTGTGCCATACCACCACTTTTTCTGGTAGTTAATTGGAGATAAGAGTGTCATGGACTTTCCTGCCTGGGCTGGCTTTGAAGTGTGATCCTCAGATCTGAGCCTCCTGAATAGCTAGGATTACAGGCATGAGTCACCAGTGCCCGGCTGTGTTTACTGGTTTTTCTGTTTAAAATTTTTTTTAATTTTATTTTATTGCAAAGATGCTGTATAGAGGAGTTAACAGTTATATGAGTAAAGTAATGAGTACAATTCTTGTTGAGCATTGTTACCCCCTCCTTTGTTTTTCTCCTACTATCCCTTTGCTTCCTCCCCCAACCCGTTCCCCCCAAAGTTTTTATTAATTTTTTTTAATTGTGAAAATACCGTACAGAGGGGTTACAATTACATGAGCAAGGTAACGAGTACATTTCTTATCAAGCATTGTTGCCTCCTCCTTTGATTTCCCTGCCCACCCATCCCCATCCCTCAAGTCACCCCCACCCTAGTTTTAACTACTTAAAATAGGCATGGTGGTGCATTTGTAATTTTAGCACTTGGGAAGCCAAGGCAAGATTAGGAGTTTGAGACCAACCAGTACTGTGTAGCGTGTTTAAGTCAGCGTGGATGGCATAGCAATATCCTGTTTCCAAGCCAAAGAAGAGCCGTTCAGTGGTTTTCTTATAATAACAGGTTAATAAGAATGTGGACACACATTCTCAAAACCATTCATTTTTCTTGTTTTGTGTAGTGATGCTGGAAATAGTGACCGGGTAGTAATTCAGGAGATGTTGAAAACAGTGGCCCAGTCGCAGCAGCTTGAAACAAACACTCAAAGAGATTTTAAAGGTATGTGCTGAAAGACAAGGCTGTTGTTACACATCGATCCCCCTGCCTCTTTTTTTAATTGGAGTTTGTTTCTAAAGTGAGCAAAGAGATTTTTGTGTGCAAGGGAATTGAATTTTGTGGGAAGAACAACATTATTTCATTACTCACATGGTGAATAAGGGAAAAACTTTATTTAAAATAAAAAATTATATTAAAATAATTGTTCTTAACAGGCACTGATGGTTACACCTGTAATCCTAGCTACTTAGGTTGAGATTAGAGGATGTCAATTAGAAGCTAGCCTGAGCAGAAAAGTCTGTAAGACTGTTATGTTCAATTAACCAGAAAAATGCCAGACTAGAGGCATGGCTTAAGTAGTAGGTAGAGTGTCAGTCATGAACAAGCAAGACAGCTGAGAACGCAAAGCTTTGAGTTCAAGACATGTTACCAGCTTGCGCACACACAAAAATTACATAATAATTATACTTTTGACCAAAATGTATATTTTTTTTCCTTTTTTGGTTATATTGGAATTTGAACTTTGTGCTTGCTTGACTTGTTTTCTTGGTTACCAATCTTCCACTTAAGCCATACCTCTAGCTGTTGATTTTTTTTTTTTTTGGTCAATCATGGGGCTTGAATTCTGGGCCTGAGCACTGTCCCTCAGCTCTTCAGCTCAAGGCGAGCACTGTACCTCTTGAGCCACAGCGCCACTTCCAGTTTTCTGAGTGTTTATTGGAGATAAGAGTCTCACGGACTTTCCTGCCTGGGCTGGCTTTGAATCATGATTCTTTGATCTCAGCCTCTTCAGTAGCTAGGATTACAGGCGTGAGCCACTGGTGCCCGGCTGTGATTATTTTTGAGATCGATTTTGACAGCCTTTTGGACTGCTTTTGAATTACATTTTCTGGATGTCATCCAATTACAGAGCTAGAATTACAGGTGTGGTCCACTGGTGTCTGGTGTGACCAAAGTTTTCTTTTCTTGATTAACAGTTATTTCCATGAACAGAAAGAAAATTAAAGTCCACTATAACTTCATCCACCAAAAAGAACTATTAAAGATGGTCCCTGCCCACTAGTATTTTCCCTATGCACATAATTCTTACAGATAAGATTTCATGATGTTAAATATACTGATATTTAATGCTTTTTTGAAGTATTTTTCCAAATGCTTCATCTGAAAGAAGAGGTAAATACGTATTTATAACCAACACTTACCAACATTGCAAATAGTCACTTTTAATCTATGTCAGTTTGAGTGGAGAGAAAATATTTTTTCTTTAGTGCAATTTTTATGACTTGACAAATTTTGTGAATTGTGAGAGTTTATGAATTTGTTCTTTACTAGTACACTAGCAAGTCTTACATTTTGTAACTTTTTATTTGTATGAGTTACTGATGTTTACATCTTAAATGTTTTAAATACTTTATATCCTGCTGTGTTGTTTAATTTCCTAATTGTACTATTCTTTTCTTTCTTGTGGATTTTTCAGAAATATATTCATATTGTTTATAAATAGGATTTTTTTTCTTCCTTTTCAATTGGTATGATTCTGAATAATTTCTCTTGCCAATACCACTGATACAGTATTTGGTGGCAGTGAAGTAACATCCAAGTCATGATTCTGGAAGGAAAGCCTTAGCAGTTGCTCACTTAGTTACTGGATTTTGGCATGAGTATTTGATCATAGTATATTGCACTCATCACTTCCTATTTTCTTATCCAGTTTTGCTTCTTTGTTTTATTAGTTTTTCAAGGTCCATATTACTTATTTTCTAATATTAACATTTCTAATACTAAATGTTTTATATTTTTTACTTTTTAATCACTGTCTTTAGCCCTCACTACAGAATAAAAATAAAGGAAAAGATAATGTAGTTTTTTTCGGGTTATTGTTTTTTATTCTGCGTATACTTGGGCTTGAACTCAGAGCTCCCTTGTGCTCTCTCACCCATGGTTAGCACTCCATCACCTTTGCTACATCCCTGGCTGGTTAATTTGGCTATGAAATGTCTCAGGCTTTACTGTTGGGCTGGCTTCTTACTGCAGTCCTCAAAATCTTGGTTCAGGATTACAGGTCTAAGCCACTGGGGCTTGCACTATGTCCTTATTATCTTCTGTTATAGTAAGAAATATGCTTAAAAAATGTTCATCAGGATAACACCTAAGTATAAGGAGTCACATTGATTCTAATGCATTGTACTCAAAACTGACATGTTGAATTGAAACCTCTTTGTACAACTACTTAAAGGTGATAAAAGAGAACAAAGAAAAACCTACAAAAACAAATATACCTATAAATTTTAATGGTTAAAGATACTAGTATCATTAAGAAATATTAGCAGTACTCAAATACAGTTTTAAAAGTTTCTTCTTGTATTAAGTTTACGGTTTTAAAAAGGACAAAACCATGTAAGTAATACTAGCGCAGATATTTTTAAGACTTCCATATCTATAAAGAAGTTGTTCTGCTCCTGTTCCCCTTTTTGGGGGCAATATTGGAGTTTGAATTTAGGGCCTCTTTTTGCTATGCTGGCATTCTACCACTTGAGCCATGCACTCAGCCCTCTTTGCTTCATTATTTTTTTGCAGTGGGTCTTGTGTTTTTGTCTGAGCCAATCTAGACTGCGGTTTTCCTATTTACACTACCTACATGTAGGTGGGATGAGTTTTATCTCACTATGCTGGCTGGTTGGTTGAAATGGAATGTGCTTTTGCCCGGACTGGCCTTTTATCTTGATCCTTCTGGTACTTAACCTCCATAGTAGCCATTATAAACATGAGCCACTGTGTCTGGCTTCTCTGGTTTATGACTCTGAATAGACCTGTGATCTTTTGCTGTTAATCATTTGTTTAAAAAAAAATGAAGTCTAGTTCTACTGGCTCATGCCTGTAATGCTAGCTACTCAGAAGGCTGAGATCAGAAAATCCTGGTTTAAAGCGGCCTGGGCAGGCAGCAAAATCTGTGAGCCTCCTATCTCCAATTAAACACCAAAAAGCCAGAAGTAGAGGTGTGGTTCAAGGCCCTGAATTCAAGCCCCAGAAACACCATCCAAAAAAAAGTGGATTTTCCTCTACCTCCTAGGAGGGAGGAGGAGGCTAAAGAGATTTTCTTTCTTTCTTTTTTTTAAGTTGTGAAAATACCCTACAGAGAAGTTACAATTACAGAAAATGAGTACATTTCTTATCAAGCATTGTCAAGCATTGTTTGCCCTCTCCTTTGTTTCCCAATCCCATCCTTTCACATCCCCGCCCCCCAAAGTTGTAAAGTTCGTTTTTTGACATAACGATTTTTGTACATCTCATTAAGCCTGAGGCTCGTGAGCTGCCTGCCCCCCCCGCCTTTTTTTTCCCACAAAGCAGTAACATTACATGATGTTATATTCTGAGCTCTATCTCCATTTTCCCTTCTGCCATTCTTTTAGCATGTCCATCTCTTTCACATTCTGTTCAGTAGGGATTCTCCTTCTGGGATTTCTTGCTGAGCAGTGTTGTATTGGCAGGGAGTTTGGTTTTATCTTCTCCAGAGTTTACTGCTTTTCCAGACCTTACTGCATCAGGGTTTCCTTGCTTTCACCCACTAATTGGGCATTGTGGAGTCTACTGTTTTCAAATTGGCTCTGGTTATTTCCACTGTATTACTGTGGGCAGTTTTGGAGTTCTTGTCCTAACAGCAGTCAGGTGCCTGGTTCTGGTCATTCCTAGCACTCAAGTGCTGAGACTATGTGTGTCTTTTCAGTTGTACTTGCTCATAACTAGAGTTTGGGGGTAAACTTTGTCACTTATTGCCATTTTTATTTTGGTGGTACTTGGATTTGAACCTTGGAATGTTGTTCTAACACTTGAACCATACCCATAGCCCATCATTTAATGTCAATCTCATGAGTAAACTTTGGTTTGGAGTCTTTAGTTGTCATTTTAATTGACACTGTCAATTTCTAGAAATATTTTTTTTAATTTGATGGGAAATTCACAAGCTGTAGTCAGTCCCTGCCTCTGTACTGTTCCTGTATGACTTTTAAGGCCAATCCTAGAAGTGGCTAGGTACAATCTCACCAAGTAAATGTCCATATACCTTTTACATTGTTGGCTATGTGTCTTATAGTAATGTTTTCCATAGTGTATTCTTTAAAGTTAAAGATGCAGCATAGTACATCCTTCCTTTGATAAGTTGTAGTGCATACCAATAGAGGCTAGAATGAATCAGACAGCAAAGTAACCTCCTAAACTTTATATTGCCAAGTGTTTCTTACTTTTGTTAATGGAATTTTTTTGTTTATTTATTCATTTGTGCTGGTCCTGGAGCTTGAACTCAAAGCCTGGGCTCTGTTTCTGAGCTTTTTTGCTGATGGCTAGCACTTTACCATTTGAGCCACAGCTGCTTAATCAGAGATAAGAGTCTCACAGACTTTCTTGCCTGGGCTGGCTTTGACTCATGACCCTTAGATTTCAGCCTCCTGAGTAGCTAGGATAACAGATATGAGCTACCAGCATCTGGCTTGTTGATGGAATTTTTTTTAAATAAAAAATTAATTATTCTTACCATATATGTAACTTAAATTTGTCCTTGTCAATAGGAAGAGGAAAATATCAAGCTTGGTGTTTTGGATTTGACTCTTAATGAAAGTAAAGGAGACTGAGTTAAATTCAAGGCCAAGTTAACTGAAGTTAAAGTTTGCTTTGTTTCTCTTTGACTCAGTGGTGTTATTGACAGAAGTTGACAAACTTACCAGAGATGCTCAACATGCCTTGAGGAGAACCATGGAAAAGTACATGTCCACCTGCAGATTGATCTTGTGTTGCAATTCTACATCCAAAGTCATACCACCTATTCGTAGTCGGTGTCTGGCAGTTCGTGTGCCTGCACCTAGCATCGAAGATGTAAGTCAGAAAAAATTCTTCTCAAATCCTCTGATCTAACATGTTCATTTTTTTAAAAACACAGTGAATTATCAATAATTTAAAAGATATAGATAGGACCTAAGTACAACTTAGACAGACTAACGAATATAGTTGTAAATACCCAAGACTAATATATAGAATGAGTTTTTCTTAAAACAACTTTTGCTTTAAAGAAGTATTATAAATTCCACTAACTAGTGTCTTCTAGCTCAGTCTGATTTATTTGGTATAGAAAGAGACATCAGTATAGGAGAATAGATTTGGCAAGTAGATGATGTGGGAATACCTGGTTCCTGTGTTGGGAATCAGAGTCTCAAACAACATTAATACATGTAGTATTTTTCTGTCATTCTTAACAGCTATCAGCAAAAGAGCTTTTCTACTATTAATAGACTTTCATACTTTATCTTTAAAGTAGTGATATTAGAAACATTGTATTAGGGGCAAAACAAGTAAATTACCACTTGTCAAACTTGTGAAATAATATGTTAAAAACATATATAAAGATATTATCAACAGAAATTATCTCAGTATGTTTTTCCTTATTTTTTGTTATTTGCAGATTTGCCTTGTGTTAACAACTGTGTGCAAAAAGGAAGGTCTGACTCTTCCGCCACAGCTGGCTCACAGACTGGCAGAAAAGTCCTGCAGAAACCTCAGGAAAGCCCTGCTTATGTGTGAAGCCTGTAGGGTACAACAGTGAGTACAAGAGCAGTTACTGCCAGGAACACTGGGACATGAGTGTTCTTTTCTCTAATTGCCTGTGTTCTCCTTGTCCTGTAGATATCCTTTTACTGAAGATCAAGAAATCCCTGAAACAGACTGGGAGGTTTATCTGAGAGAGACTGCAAATGCTATTGTCAGTCAGCAGACACCACAAAGGTAACCAGTGTGAGACTGATGATAAAGCTTTCCTTATTGATGTGGGGCAGGTAGTGGCCGTGGTTTGCTAACACCTGGCCATTTAGAACTATAATTAAATATTAAATCCAAATGTTGACTTTCCAAAGAAAAAGTCAGATTTAATCCCTGAAATTCAGTGGTCTAGAATAGTATTATGTCAGTTTTTTAAAAAAATTTATTGTAAAGCTGATGCACAGAAGGGTTATTGTTACATAAGTAAGGTAATGAATACATTTTTCTCCCACTTCTCCCTCTGAACTTCCCTGCCCCCAAGTGCTAAAGTTCATTGCTAACATAGTGTCTAATGATTATCATTGTTGCATTGGTTCACTTTTTGTCCCATCATTTCTGTCATTCCCCTTCCCTTCTCCAAATCAGATAAACTTACATACAAGACAAAGGGTCACTGGTTTTGATTTCTATACAACACACACAACACAGAATAAACTAAAGGAGAAAAAATGGATAAAAGAAATAACTGCAAACAGTATACTACAGAAAAAAACTTCTTGTTTTCATTTATTGGAGTTCATTTCTTAGAGTTCATTTTAATTAAATATTGAATCTAAATGTTGAACTTACAAAGAAAATGTCAGATTTAATTCCTGAAGTTCAGGGGTCCAGAATAGTATTATATTAAGCTTTTAACATGTAAAAGTGGAATTTTATTAAGCTTTTAACATGTAAAAGTGGAATTTATACATAAATTTAAACTTGGAATTATTAGTTTTCCTCTCATAATCATAGGTGACTTAACATTGATACAGAATAATGTATCTGGCTTCCTAATATTGAAAAGAATAATGTATAACCTCACAAGTGATGTATAATGTGCTAGAACAACACCAGATTTCTAGTTAATATCTTAATTTAGTTGAGTATCCTTGAGTAGCTAAGTTCATCTTGGAGTTAATACTTCTTCATTTGGGTTGGGAGAATGCTATTTTCATTACCTTGACAACGATACTTGTTCCCTTTGTTATGAGTGCATAAGATTGTATGATAATGGTTTGAGAAGTATAAAATGCTGTGCTCATGCCTGATGATGTCTATTAAGAATAATATTGTGATTTTCACATGGCTACTCAAAATATATTTTCCACATTTGCTGCAAAATTGTTTCCATTTACTGCAGTAGCTCTATTATTAGGAAATGGACATGCTAAAAATACTTCAACTACTGGTGGTTTTATGACAGTTTTGACTGAGAAAGAGTCCATACTCTTCAGATAAAAAAATAAGAGTCTTTAGGCTCAGCACCTTTGGAATGTGAAGGAACTTCCTCAGGCTCACTAGCCAAATAGAGCTTTTAATCCTAGTACCCTGTCAGAACTGAGAAACCATCCTTGATCCTAGTTGATCATTTTAGGGTCCATAGTAGACTGAGCATAGTCATTAGAACTTCAGATTCCTTGATTTAAATGAAAATTACAGAAGAGCATTCCATTTTTTTATCCTCAGAGTTAATACATCTAATGAATTCTAATTTTCAAAAAATAACATGCTGTAAGTAGCCTCATCAGAAAAAAATATGATCTTTAAAGAAATGTGTTCATTCATTTCTTTCAGTTAAATGTTGATGAGCAGTGAAGACATTTCATGCATTAAAAAGATGAAATTCAAATAAAACAGGTTTTAGGAATGATATTTCCAAAAACTATTTCCCCATTGAAGTTGACTTTCTAGTTTTCTCATTTTAAAGAAGAAAATTTGTAGTAGAACTTTCCTACTTTTAGGAGATTTTGGTGCAAATGACACCTGTATGTTTTAAATTTTACTTTTCATTGCCTAGTTCTTCTGTCTGCTTCTGCCTTTCCTCTGATTTCCCAAGAAAACTTTAGAATCTCATACAAGAAGTGGTGTTCCTCATTGAAACTGTAAACTGTGAAATTCAGTTTTTTGTGCACATAAAAAGAAATTTTGCCTAATTCCAGAAGGCCTTGAGGCTGACCAGAAATACTGACAGGCTAGGGTCTGCTGATCATTAAATGCAATGACACCTTTAAATGCAATGACATCTTTTGACCCTGTAGTCTTAACTATTTGTTTTCTTGATTCTCATTTGACCTGTGTTAGTTATGACCTTCTGATTTGAAGAGTAGCTGATCCTTAATAAATACTCTGTTGTCTCATGTAACTCTTAGCCATCCTATGAGAAAAACATTTATCATCTTACTTTGTAGATGAGAAAGGGAGATTTAGAGAGATTATTTTTAGGTACATTGACTTATTGAGATAGAGCTAGTCCTACAAAACCCATGTTTCTTCGACAAAAGATTTATATTCTTAATTGCTTGCAACACATCAAGAAATATGGGCACAAACATAGTAAATTTAGATTTTATTCTTTTGTCAATACTGGGACTTGATCTAAGGGCCTCTTGCTCATCTTCAGCTTTTTACTCTAGCTGGCACTTTACCACTTGGACCATATTTATACTTTTTGCTGGTTAATTGGAAATAAGAGTATCTGCCTGAGTTTTAAACTTCAGTTCTCATCTCAGCTTCCTGAGTATCTAGGATTCCAGATGTGAGCCACCAATGTCCAGCTGGTATTTTTTGTTTTTGTTTTTTTGGCAGTACTAGGGTTTGAACTTGGGTCCTTGAGTTTACTAGGCAGAGCATAATCATTAGGAATGAATATTGTGTTTCAGTGAACCTCATTCTGAGTAACAGCAGATAAATGCTTGACAGACATTAACTTTAAAATAAACAGATCTTTGCTAAGATGGGGCCTTGTTGTTGTCCACTTTGACACGTTACTGTTCTTTCATCTTTAATATTGACTTCACAGAGCTGGTATGAGAACTGAGTTATATCATTTCATATAATGTCTTGCACAAAACAGATGTTCAAAAAATGCTTATACTTACGGGGTTTTTTTTAACTTAAAAAATTTTAAATATGGCAGAGCTTCATTCTTTTGGAGTTCTAGGAAAGAAAGTTAAACATTTACTTTTAAGAATCTTTTAAAAATCACTACCCTGATTTATGAGAAGTATGGCACATCTATCTATGGTGGTATAGTAAGTTCATCTGAAGTTTTTTCTCTTTTGTGGTTGCACAGTATACATAATGGTAAGTAGAACTGTGTAATGTGCTTTGAGAATTTTTTTTTCTTATTGTCTTGAAATTAGCAGAGCCTGGAGTTTTAGGTTTAGAGACTTAATATTCTTGTTCACTTCTGGTCTGTCCCCTTTGAGTTTGACAGGACAGTTTTGCTTCTGTGCTATTTGGTCTTTCATTCAAATAGCTTGTGTCTTCTTCTTACTATGACATAGACTTGTAACTGCTTGATCTTTCCATGAACTTTTTCTAAATACACTTAACCTGTCCATCTGGCATACACATATATATACACACACAAATACACACACAAACATACTACTTGATATGTCATTAAACTAAGTATATTCCATATTGAGAATAAACTCAGCTCTTATCATTCATGAAAGTTCTGTAGTACTTTCACAATTGATAGATATAATGAGTGCCCTTTTCATATCTACTTTATAAAACTGCTGGGAATATATGTAGCACACTTTTCAGTGCTTGTATGCACAAGGTCCACAATTCGACCTCTAGCACCATGAAAATAAAGTTAAGAATGAACTGAAATGAAAAGAAGCTTCTATATGTCTATCCTATGTATGAGAAACCACTTCAAATTTTGCCTTCATCACAAATGGCAGTATGTCTGTTCTTTGTTTTTATGTAGGCTCCTTGAAGTTCGTGGAAGGCTTTATGAGCTTCTAACTCATTGTATTCCTCCTGAGATAATAATGAAGGTAAACTGGTTTCAGATCTGTATTCGTTTGCAATCATATTTGGACTTTTCATGTGCAGTCATGTGGTCATGGAGCTTTCATACTGTCTCCTCTTTCCATTGTATTAATTCCACAGATGCATCTGGCCTCTGCTGTTTGCTAAACAGTAGTAGGATTTGGCCAAGAAGGTAGGGGGAGGGCCTGCTGTCAGGGAGGAAAGCTAAGCTCTAATGGAGTGAAATAAGAAACCACGAGAGGAGGATTTCAGAATGGTCCAAGTGCTATTAAAGAAATAAAATGAAGTTTTGATAATGGAGGGTGGGACTGTGGATGGCCATTGACAGCTTCATTGAAAAAAAGAAGTATAAACTGACACTTGGGAGTAAGAGGAAACATGGGTGAATAGCTAGGAATAAGCATTGTAGCCTGCAGGACTCAACGGCCCATAGAGAATGAGGTTATAAAGGAAGGCAGAATCCAGACTGGAGGTTTTTTTTTTTTTTTTTTTTTAATTTTTTTATTGTGAAAATACTGTACAGAGGGGTTACAATTACATGGGCAAGATAATGAGTACATTTCTTATCTTATCAAGCATTGTAGCCTCCTCCTTTGTTTCCCATCCCTTCCCATCCTCCCCTGCCCCCCCTACCCAATCCTCCCCGCTTCCTCTCCCTGTCCCCCCCCCCCGCACCAAAATTGTAAGTTCATTTTTCAACATAACGACTTGTACATCTCATTGTTGCAATGGGTCCACCTGTATCCCTATTTAAACGATTTGTTTTTTCCCTTCCCCTCCACAAATTATACCGACATCAAATACAGTGAAAGCAGGGGTTATACTGTGGGGGAGGGACATACAAAGCAACAAAGAAATCATCTTATAAATGCGTTAGAAACAATCGCATGAAAGAAAAAAAATTTTGAATACATATCTTAGGGTTCATTTCCCTAACATCACCTTATCTGACCTTTTCTGCTTGACTCAGACATATACTAGATATTGCAAATAAGGGAAACCATGGGACCTAAGTTTCTTTGGGCCTGCCTTACTTCACTTAATATAATTTTAGGAAGGCAGAATCCAGACTGGAGGTTTTTTTCTGAGCTACTTAGATAAATTTCTTGATTGATAAATGTTAGAGAACTTACAGGTTTTTGTTTGTTCTTATTAAAAATCACCCAGTAATACAAAAGTCATAGGATTAAAAAAATGAAAGGAAAATATAAAAGTTCATTTTTACCACTTTTAACAGACTTTCTATTGAAACAAATACATTATTTGTGTATCTGGTTTCAAATCAGTGCACTGTGTTTTGAATCGACAATGTAGCATGGACATTGTTCATGACTACAGATTCACCATGTTCTTTTTAGTGGATGGATGGTATTTCTTTGTATGACTTTATTATAGTCTTTTTTTTTTAATATGGCCTCATACTGATGGGGTTTTAGATTGTCTACAGATGATTAGTATTGTAAATGCAGCAGTGTCTTTGATTTTAAAACCTTTATACTTGGATTTTTCCACCTCATACAATTAAATACAGATGTGCCTTGGTTTATATTGCAGTCACACTGATAAAAACCCTTTGTAAGTGGGCAATACTATAAGTAAAAAATGCATAGCCAGCGTGGTGGCTCAGCAGCCTGGGCAACCTAATGAGACCTCTTCTCTCTTTCTCTCCCCCCCTTCTCTCCCCCTTCTTTCTCTCCCCCCTCCTCCTCTATCCCTCTCTTCCCTCCCTCTCTGTCCCTCTCCCCCTCTCCCTCTCCCCTTTCTGTTCTCCCTCTCCCCCTGCCTGTCTCTCTCCCTCCCTCCCTCTCCCTCTTTACCCCTTCCCTCTTCCTTTCTTTCTCTCTACCTTCTCTCCCTCTGTCCCTCACTCTCCTTTTTTCCCTCTCTCTCCCTTTTCCCTCTCTCTCCCTTTTCCCTCTCTCTCCCCCTTTCCCCTCTCCTATCTCTCTTTTTAAAATGCAGTAATATAATTTAGCTAATACATATAATTAACAGGACAGTAACCAGTAGAGTATTGATTATTTACCTTCATGATTGTGTGGCTTTGGGGGATTGTGGTATCCCACCTGTCCCCCAATATATATGAGAGAACCTCATACTGCCTATTACTAGCCCTGAAAAAGACCAAAATTTGAAATGCGATTTCTTCTGGCTTTGTATTGCTTTTTCACTGTCATAATGCTAAAACAAATCATTCAGTTGGACTATTGTTAAGTCAGGGACTGTCTGTATTTGCAGTTTGTTACATGGTAGGTAGCCACATTTTTACATTACAAAGTATGAGGTTTTCTTTTGGACAAGGACTGCTGGTTTACATAAAAGAAGATCTCACTTATATGAAAAATAGCACATTTACATTTTACTTCTTGTGAGAAAAATAAAGCATATTTGGCTAAGTTTTAAATGTTTCCTTTCTGTGTTAACTAATTGTTTCTCTATAGGGCCTTCTCTTGGAACTTTTACATAATTGTGATGGACAGCTGAAAGGGGAAGTGGCCCAAATGGCAGCTTACTATGAACACCGTCTGCAGCTGGGGAGCAAGGCCATTTATCACCTGGAAGCCTTTGTAGCCAAGTTTATGGCACTTTATAAGAAGTTCATGGAGGATGGATTGGAAGGCATGATGTTCTGACTTGAAGCAGTAATTCTTTGAACTGTTTCTCAGAATCAGCATTTACAGATGATTTGTATTAGGAGAGCTAAGGGTAAAATTAATAAACCTTACTTCACTATGCCTTATTTTTGTTTTTTTTTAATAGTAATTTTAAATAGTAATTTCTCTGTTTACCATCCCCATATTAAAATAATTGCTCCTGTATTGTTAGAAGTATATTGAAAGGATAAATCCGTAAACATAAAGTATAAGAATAATTTGACTGTAGAATAATTTTACTTTTGTTTTTCAAGTGTGTGTTGTCTTCTTACTCTCTTCCATGTGGTCTCTTGTATGCTGAAGGAGATTTATACACAAGGAAGCAAAGATGATTTTCTGTCCTTCACATCACCATTTTTGGCCATAGATACATGATTTTTTTTTTTTGGCTTGGCTAATCATACTTTTCTTCAACCAAGCAGTATATTATTTTTCAGGAAAAAAAAAGCATGAGTGTGGAGAAAACTACAGGTACTTTGTTATGGAGACTACAGATGCCCAACTTTTTTTGTTTTTGTTTTTGGTCTGTGGTGGGGCTTGAACTCTGGGCTTGGGCGCTGTCCCTCAGCTCTTTAGCTCAACTAACTAGTCACAGCACAACTTCCAGTTTTCTAGTGGTTTATTGGAGGTAAGAGTCTAATGGACTTTCCTGCCCGGACTGGCTTTGATCCTCAGATCTCAGCCTCCTTAGTAGTTAGGATTACAGGCATGAACCACCGGCACCTGGCAATGCCCAACTTTTATTTCAGTGATTCAGATTAGTATTGGGTTAGTGCTAAGAAATAACCATATTTTTATTATTTTAAGTCCTTAGGGTTCCTGAGGTATATGCATCATACAGTTCAGTGTCCCTGGTCAGCAATGTGTGTGTGTGTCTGTGTGTGTGTTTGTGTTTTCGGTTGTTCATGTGTACTTCATTTCTAGAATCCTATTTAATTGCTGATTGGTCTGGCAGTGGTCATGTGTGGTGCCTTCAACTTTTGGCTAGCAAAGCTGCACCTGGCTTTCCTTTATTCACCAAGTTTGCCTATTTAGCATAGCTATAGACTTTCCTTCCTTCCCATACTGAGTCAGTACACTAGACTGAAACCAGTTTTTACTGATAAAGTGCTAAGGTTTGGATGTAGTTTGAATGTTGTTGCCAAAAACACATGTGTTAACCCAATTACAATCCACTCTGGTGTCTCTGATGGGGTGTTTGGGAGGTGATTGGGAATGCCCGAGGGCCTCAGGTGGGGTGTCCATTGGGGACCTACTGGTGACTGTAAGAAGGAGAGAGATCCAAATATATATATGCCCTGCTGCCTCTGGATTCTGTTGACAAGAGACAAGAAGACTGGCATCTGATCTACTTCCAGACCCATAAGCCAAAGCAAACTAGTCCATAGTGCTACCTAGCCTTGAAATCAGTTTTAGGTCACAAGCCCAAACCTCAGGAGATCTACACACTGAGCCTGGAGATTTGGCCTAACCTAAATGATAGTAAATAGTGAAGGACAGAGTTCTTCTATAGCCTTTTTCACACTGCTAACTATAAGAAATGCTTAAAAAGTTTTTTTTTTTTTTTTTTGAGAAACGACTTCTCCCGTGAATTAACTAAGAGCTAGGCATCTAACTTGTCCTTTTTCCTGAGCCATTCTGTCCTGCACTTTCTTACAACCATCTAGGAATCTAGGTAAGCCCATGCTACTCCCAGGCATTGGTGACCATTTGTTACAGTCCTTACCTGAGTAATCCTGACAGAGTAGACTGTCAGCACCACACCTCTTCTCGCCATCTCTACATCTATGCTTTGGGAATGTTTAAGTATCTTTCTTACCTCCTGCCTCAGTTCCCTGAGGATTTAAAGCCATGGCAAATGTCCATACTCCCCAAAGAGCTGAAGTTGTGCTGAAGTGCTGTCTTCCCACAGTTGCCATGTTAGAAATCTCTTCTCTTGGCCCTAATTTATCATTCTTCTGGTGTATCTGACCTAACAAAAACAAGGGATTCCTGGAGTTTGGGCCTAGGTCTAAAACTTCCCTTTCATAGCCAGGTGTAGTAGTGCACACCTGTAATGCTAGCTACTCAAGAGGTGGAGGCAAGAGGATCTTGAGTTCCAGACCAGCCAGGATGGGAAAGTAGTATTCTGTCTCAAACACAACTCTAAAAATGGCTAAGGGAGTAGCCCAAGTGGTAGGGTAGCTCACTGATCTTTAGTTTGAGTAGTTCCTGATGCCTCAAGTTAACTGTTTTTTTCCTCCACAATCTAAAGACTATGACATATTTGAATCTATCAGATGTTTCATTTCTGACTTTATTTTCTACATTTCTCATTCTGTTCGTGTTTTTTTTCTGATATCTGTTGACAAATTGTATAATAGTTCTTTTAAAGTTTTTGCAAATTGCATTATATTTGCTTTTCTGAGTCTGTTTCTGGGTTGACTGCTATTTTTGCTGAAGATGTCACATTTTACCTTTTTGTATGTGGGTTAACTTGTTGGATGCTGGCTATTTTGGCATATTTGTGCTGTTAAGATAAACTGTCCAGCATCAGATAAACTTTGTAATGTCACATTACAATGTCTTTCTGCCTAAATTTCTTGTCTTTTTAAAAATAGTCTTTAAAAGACTTTGCTTTGGCAAAGAACAACTTTCTATCTTTTTATGCTTATTTTTGTTGCAATGGGCCTAGAGGACCCTTTATCCTTTGCTTTACAACTGAAAGGAGATTTCTGATACCTTTTACTGAATGCTCCTGAAATTATTGTCACTCTTAGGCTTTGCAACTAAGGCTTCCAGCCATGTGTGAATTCTAGAAATTGTTCAGCTTGCTCTTTCCAGTCATTTTTTTGCCCTCTAAGTTCCTCTTGTTTTATGCTTGTTTATCCTATTTTGTTTTGTATTTCTTTTTTTGATGGCCTGGTGGAGCCTTAATGCATATGTTTCTTAATAATTAGCCAAATGTGCAAAATTTCAGGAATGCTTTTCTGTGTAACTCTTTTCTCTCCAGCTCATTGTTCTGCACACATAACTGAAATCAAACTTTTAAACCTCTGGCTCAAAGTTCAGGGTCCTGAGCTAGATCCAATCACTTGCCTTTATATGCCAAATGAAGAAACATGGTGAAGAGCAGATTTATTACATCAAAAGGAAAGAAGATTTATTACATGGTAGCCATGTAATAAAGACAGTACTTCAATACGTCTTTAACCATCTTCAATGGTACAGATTATTGGCTTCAGAAAAATAGAGAAAGAGGTAAAAATGGTAGTAAGGAAAATGGCATTTATAATGAAAGCAGTCCCAAGTCAGATAGGGTCTGCTTGAATATTATTAGCTCAGTTTTGTCTGGAGCTCTAAAGAAGTTATCACTTGACCACTGGAATGGAACATGAATAAGTTGCCTGGAAGCTGATATCCTGAATTTTTGGTTGTTTAAGATGATTAGAAGTAGTCATTGCCTATTTGAGGGGTAGTTTGCCTTCCACACAAGAAACTTAACAGTGAATCTTTCCTGGAGCCTTAAGGTACTTGTAAAGTACCTACAGCAGAGCATAGCTCAGATCAAAGGACACAGATACAAAATTGGGGGACTTTTAGTTAATTCACTGAGTCCAGCAAAAGCATCTCTTAAGTTTCCTCTTACACAGTCACCTCAGCTTTTCTCTGAACTGGGCTCTTTTCTCCTAGAGTCAAGTGTTTTCCCCATCCACCCTACAAGTGAAAAATGCATCCAGACCAAAAGCAGGGTAGTAGCTCTGTGGGGGGAGGGGGAGGGTTTCTCTAAGGCATTACAGTCTTGCAGTGATGTTTTGTCTAGCTTTCTTTTAATATTTTTTGGGGGGGGTCCGGTTGTGGGGCCTGAATTCTGGGCCTGGGCACTGTCCCTCAGCTCTTCAGCTAGCACTCTACCGCTTGAGCCACAGCACCACTTCTGGCTTTTTTTTTTCCTGCTTATGTGGTGCTGAGGAATCAAACCCAGGGCCTCAGGCATGCAAGGCAAGCACTTTACCACTGAGCCACCTTCCCAGCCCCATTGTCCAGCTTTCTTTCTTTCTTTTTTTTTTTTTTTTTGGTCCAGTCGTGGGGCCTGAACTCTGGGCATGGGCGCTGTCCCTCAGCTCTTCAGCTCAAGGCTAGCGCTCTACCACTTGAGCCACAGCGCCACTTCTGGCTTTTTTCTTTTTGCTTATATGGTGCTGAGGAATCGAACCCAGGGCCTCAGGCTTGCAAGGCAAGCGCTCTACCACTGAGCCACCTTCCCAGCCCTGTCCAGCTTTCTTGTTTACTGTAGGGGAGTGAATTTAATATCAGTTACCCTGTTATAATTAGTAGAGAAAGTCTAGAAGTTGGGATTCTAATCTATGGCCCTTGTTCCTGTGTGTGAATCACTGTCATGTAAAAATCTCTGTATTTATATTTTGATAATTCAAATAATTTTTTCCAAAGAATGATGTTGGGCAATATACATCACAGCAAAAACTCTTGTGGTTTTACAAGGTGCTATCTTATTTTGGACCTCAGTGAAATCAGAAGTAACAATAAAATGGTATTCCTAAGTTACAGTGCTCTAAATCGTGAAATCCATTCCTTAGAAAAGAATTCACAATTTGGCAGCATTTTTCTCTGTGCGGGTTCTCCAAGTAAAACATAATAATTTCCTTTATTTCAGAATGATGAGCTGAATTTCTCTATTAGCCTGATTTTTTTTCCTGTTTACAATTCCTATGGAAATTTGGAGCCTTATCACAAGATGGTATATAAGACTTTCATTAAAGTGCTTTTCTCTCTGTAGCTCTGCAAGAGTAGTCGTCTCTGTAAACCTTAGCTGGTGTCTAAATAACAGCCTAATGCTAATTTACAAACACTATTGGGTACATTTGGGATTTAGTGCCTTATGTTTCTTTGGGAGCTGTTTTGATTAGCTGATTGCCTGCTGAAGTTACGTTCTCCTTCATGCAGCAGCATGAGAAAGTGAGTGGCTTCCCAAAGAGCAGCTGTACAAAATAATCATTAGCTGACCTTTCCAGAATAACATTAGGAACCTTTATGTGAGGTGATATGCTAGATTCTTTATGGACATTCTCTCATTTAGTTCTGACAA